GTCCTCCCTCTTACTTTCTCCCTACAACCATGAGAGTCCAGGTACTGACCTGCTGTGTGCTTCTTCAGACACCCTCACTCCAGTCCCTCCAGTGACATGAAAATTCACAAGAAGGAATGATGCCAGCTCTGCTCTACCAGTGAAGGTGGTCCTGAGAGAAGAATCCTTGATGCCATGGGGACAAGGATGGGGAGGAGCTGCTCCCTGCTTCCTGCAGGTAACATGAAGGCCACTTTTAACCTGAAAAATTGATTGCCTCTAGAATTTCTACTTCCCATCATGCCAACAAGCCCTTTTATTTTTGTAAACAAGATTCTTCTTTTATCCCTAAAAGCGTTTGGCTTCCAGAAGTTGGTGCTGTTGTCATCTGCTTCCACTGACATGGGATCTTGCTTTGGCCTTGCTCACCGTGCCAACACAGACTGTTTTTATGCATTTCTTTACAAATGAGCTATTGGAGTACATTTAACTTGCCCTTGGAAGAATGCCACCAAAATGAGTCTGTCCCAGGCAGCTGCTTCCCAGGTGCCGAGTTGTGAGTGCAGCAGTATTAAACAATCACCAACCCCAAAACTCAAGGAGCTCCCCGCTTCTGGGCATGCTGCCTCGCCTGATGCTGAGAGGGCAAACAGTGATGGTCAAGCACAGAGATGACAGCACAGAAACACAGGCAGGACACCCTGCAAAGGAAGTGATTTCCAGGGATCAATGGGCTGTCACTCCATCACCACCTAACTCTGGTGCAGCAGGAGCAGCTCAGTAGGTTGAAGCAATAGGGGCTCAGATCAGCTGTCCTCAAGTGTTTCCCCTATCTGATACCCACAACAGAAGATTACAAAAGGAGTAGTTTGTATATCCTCTTACAGCTGCTTACCTGCCTTCTCCATCAAGGAACAGGGCTGAAGGTGTCTGAACATCCCCCTCCCTGCTCAGGCATGCACACTTCAACTGCTTCCTCCTGGGGTCCTCAGCCTGCAGCCCGTCTGCACAGGCATGATTCCTCCTCCCTAGTCCTTTCTGCCCTTTCACTGACCCCCCTGGCCAGGCACAGAATTAGGACTAACTGCCTGCACAGCCCTCAGGGAGCCTCGGATGTTGGTGCCAGTGACAGGCTAAACCAGATGAAGCTGACAGCTCAGAAAGCTTCCTTGCTTCTTCTCCAAGAGACAACAGGAGATACTTGGCAGGGTCTTTGGCAGGGAACCAGCTGCAAAGTCCAAGGCAGTAAAACCTGGTTAGGAGCCGAAAGCTCAGCCCCCACTTTGTAATTGGGCTCCAAGGAACAGAGACAAAGCACTACACTGAAACATAACAGCTTGTGCTAATCCATAAGCACTTTATCCTTTCACATGTTGTATAGGGACAAGCTGTGCACCAGCCCTGGGATAATGAAGCCTCTGTACCAGAAGAGGACTGGAAAACAGGCAACATTAATACTGAACTTCAGCAAAACTGACTTTTGAATTGATTCCTAGCAGCTCAAGGTGTGTCCAGTTACATGGGAAACCTACAGCTTTGCACATTTCACAACAGTTCTCCACAATTCAAAGTATCATGGAATGAAACAAAATTCAACTGTCACAGTGTGAAAACACCTCTGTAGCTGGCAGGCTCACTGCAAGGTTTTGCTTTCCAGGCACAGCCTCAGAACAGGGGTGTAGACAACCAGTTACAGCTAATGGGTTTAAGTATGTGTAACTCCTTCCACAGCAAGCCAAAGGGGACAGGAACTTGCAACTCCAAGCACCCTAAGAAAACACGCTTCCTCCACCCAAGGGGGCAGAGGCTGAACTGCCAAAATCACTCACTCCCCTCCCAAATCTTCTGCAAGTTCTGCACACAATTAAAACTATTCTACCAAGAGAGACAATTTTCAATTTAGACACTAGTTTCATGACTCAAAGTGTCCTGACAGGCAGTTCTTCCACAACTTAACTCACAGATCTCTACCTTTTGCCACAACTGTGCTGAACACAGGAAGCAAACTTCAATAGCAGGTACTAAGACTGGTAAATACCTGGGTTGTGCTGCTGCAAACTTGAGACTACCAGGAAAACTACCACTGCACCGAGGGGAACTAACAGGCAGTGTCTATAAACCCAAGACAGGTTAAGCTGTAGCTAGCTTGTCCTGCTTTCAAACACTCACCCCCACTCAAAAGGCTACCCTCTTCCTGTACAAACCAGCTTCATTTTCAGTAATTTCTGGGAATTCTGACCAAGGCACGCATTCCCTCCTTCTCCTCCCAGCCCACACACGACTTCCAAACAGTATCTACTGTCAGCATTGCGACTTTAAAAACACTCACAGTAAATGGACTGAGAACTGTTGTAATACACAGCTTCTCCAGAAGCACAGCTCTTAAATGAGATCCCAGCATGCTGCCTACTCTTACTATTCCAAACTGCTGAAAATAAATTCAGAAGTTTATTACTCCCTCCCACTTACAGTTACTGGTAACCATCCCATCACGATGCTACGGCTAATTCACTGCAATCCTGACAGTTAAGTACAAACCAAACACGGAACCGAATAACTTACACAAGCATGTGAAGAAAATGTAAAAACACCATAACTGAAGATTGTACCCAATGAAGCCTCCCACTTAAGTCCTCCTTTCCTAATGGAAAATGATGCTTATCTTGTGAGCCAAATAGGGATTTTAAATTGCTGTGGAAACTGGCAAGCCAAAGATGATAGAGGTCTAAGGCTCAGCATACAGATGTATCTGCTCCAGCAAAACCCCGCCTGGTCATAATAGCTAAGTGCATAAACCGTGACAATGGAAGTTAAGATTCACAGACCTTCCTTCAAGAGATGGTGGTACACTTTATGTCCAATACATATGGTGTCAAAAGACACTACCAGCATCACCTACCAGTCTGCTAACAGAGCAGCTTTGTTCATCTTCTTCAAGGCATTTCCAAAGTCATTCCAACAATACAGCCTGTTCTAGTTTCTGAGATAGAAGCCTGGAGAAACTTCAAATGTAGCATCTGCTCACTGGGACTTTGAGCATTCAGTACCTAAAGCCTATCACCCTTAAATATCAGGCCAAGCCACACAATCATAGAATCATAGAATAGTTAGGGTTGGAAAGGACCTTAAGATCATCAGGTTCCAACCCCCCTGCCATGGGCAGGGACACCTCACACTAAACCGTATCACCCAAGGCTCTGTCCAACCTGATCTTGAACATTGCCAGGGATGGAGCATTCACAACCTCCCTGGGCAACCTATTCCAGTACCTCACCACTCCACGCAGCCTTCTCTTCTCCAGGCTGAACAGCCCCAACTTTCTCAATCTATCTTCATATGGGAGGTGCTCCAGTCCCCTGATCATCCTCATGGCCCTCCTCCGGACTTGTTCCAACAGTTCCATGTCCTTTTTATGTTGAGGACACCAGAACTGCACACAATACTCCAGGTGAGGTCTCACAAGAGCAGAGTAGAGGGGCAGGATCACCTCCTTCGACCTGCTGGTCACGCTCCTTTTGATGCAGCCCAGGATACGGTTGGCTATCTGGGCTGCAAGTGCACACTGAAGCCGGCTCATGTTCATTTTCTCATCAACCAGCACCCCCAAATCCTTCTTCGCGGGGCTGCTCTGAATCTCTTCTCTGCCCAGCCTGTAGCTGTTCTTGGGATTGCTCCGAACCAGGTGTAGGACCTTGCACTTGTCACGGTTAAACTTCATGAGGTTGGCATCAGCCCACCTCACAAGTATGTCAAGGTCCCTATGGATGGCATTCCTTCCCTCCAATGTATCAACCGAACCACACAGCTTGGTGTCATCGGCATAAATTCAACATCTAAAAGCTGCATTCTGTGAAAATGGGAACACTCACAATCAAATGGTAGGTAAGAGCAAGCAGCCATTAATCCGTTTATCTGTAAACAACCCGTTCAGTTTGACACTTAGGCACCTCAGAATTAAGGGCAAAAGCAAACCTCATTCTTTCCTAAACTTATTAGCTGTCCTGCAACTACCTATTCAACAATTTTTAACAGTCAATACCTACAAATGGCTTGAAGTCAGTAGCTTCTCTAATGGTACTCTACATGTAGACACTACTGGCAGCTAAGTAATGCCTTACACCACACTTAAAAAGGTAAAATATTACCTATCCATATCTGCAACAGTTAAGCTTGAGTTTATGCACTTTCAAAGCTAACCAAGCAGATTACCTTTTGCACTTTCTTTAGCACTCCTCACATTTTCAAACAACACTCACAAAAACAGCACTGGTTAATTAGCAGTCAGCTGAAGATTTCTTCCAATTAAACACTGGGTTTCGTGAAGGAAGTATCAATAGATCGGTGAGATGACAGGAACAAATTAGAACATCCAGGGAAAAGTTTAGATTCAACAGACATGAAACAAACATACAAAATGCCATGTTCAGCTACGACAGCCAATTAAAATGATAAAAATCAAATCACAAAGGCTGCCAGTTTTGGAATTAAAGCCTTATTTCTAAACCATCATTATTCCATAAGAATGCTTATTGGCCTGGGGTGTTGTAAAACCCCTTTCTTCAGAGGTTCAAATGGCAGAACACCAAAATCTGCCTGCAGCCATTTCTTAAGAGGCTGCTTTCAAAAACTGTTTCCACAATTCTTTGGTATTAATCTGAGGCCCCTTAACCAAAAGCTTCTATCAATGGAATCTGAAGCTTGTTATCCCTTTTCCCACAAAAAAAAAAAAAAAAGCTTCAAGTGACACTGTACAATTCTTTGCACATGTACTGAGTTTACTGGTGAAATATTCCATTCTCTCATATTGCCTCAGGATCATCATTAAGCTTTAGCAAGTTTCAGTGTTCCCAGGATTTATGGTGTCTATGAATAACTGAACTGATAAGCAAAAGCTGTAGACAATGCAAATGACCAAGCACAATGTAAGGCAAGTTGAATAAACAAACTTCAATAAAACAAAAGGTTTTTAAAGCAGCTGTTAAAAAAAACAACCAGCCCTGAAAGAACCAGCCACAATCACATACACTTGTCCAAAACCAAATCTTTAATTTACTTCTTTTAAACAAGCCTTATGCCATGAATTCATAGGGAATTGGCTCCAGCAGCTCTGGGTCCTTGCCATTCGTTCTCACAAAGTGTGCTTCCCTTGGTGGAGCAGGCTGTAAAGAAAATTAAAAAAACAAACTCATGGCACTAAAACTCAAAAGCAACCTTACAGAAAATTAATTTTGACAACCACTGAGCACCTTACTTTATTGACATTACAGCAATTTTACCATTAATAGTTTCTTTGCATTTTGATTCAAAGAACAGCAGTAAAAAAATTATCTGCTAGGAACTGTCTTTGACTTTGCTGAATGCAAAATCCCTACACTTTACCCTCTGCAATTTGCTAATCTAAATTAACACGAAGTGATGTACCAGTTCCAGAAACAACAACTGGTATCTCACTCTCTGAAGTCAAGCTATTAATTGTTTTCTTCAGGGTTACAACAAAAATTGTTGTAGCTAAAGTCAGCTAAACCAAAGTCAACACTGATCCTAGAAACCAGCCAAAGCTTCTGCTGCAGGTCAGCAGCAGAACAGGAAGCACCTGTCCCTTTGTTTGCAGCCAAGGCTGCCATCTCCACCCAGGAACACCACAGGTCTATTCAGGCACCAAAGGTATCAGAGCTCAGAGGCAGACACACTGCATGCTGCCACTCTACTCTGAAAGAAAAACCACCAAAAGTAACTTGGGTTCACAGTCCTTTCGCAGGAAGTGAGGGAGGGAGCAACAGACACTTCCATACAATCTGCCACAGACATGTGGTTTTCAGAATAGGTGTTTTTTTGGGGGAGTGTTTGTGTTTGAAAGACACAAAAAGAGCTCAGAAACAGTGTAGCACTGATATTTTGGAAGAACACAACATTTTACTCAGCTGGTTTGGTTTTAGCTGTTTGGGGGCTAAAACATTACCTGGCGTTTCAGTTGAACCCAAATGCCTTTTTCTTTTGCTTCCTTTTTCTTCCTTTCATTCTCTTTCACACGCTGCAGAAAGCTGTCTCTGCTCTTGGAATGTTTAATATGCTCAATGCGCACATTGATTCTCTTGGCAAGAATCTTGCCCCTAAGAAAGGAAATCAGTTTTAATTTACTGCACTTGAAAAAAAGGCCACTTCAAAGCTAGTTTTATGGCCCTTAGAGGAGTAACTCCATAAGCAAAATCAGATAGTTTTTCTTTAAAGAGCAATCACTTAAAATATACTGCTGCACATACAAACCATATATAACTTTGGTAACTGAAAGCTTATTAATATATAATAATGTGCTGACAATTTCAGATTAAGATTGTGGAGAACATGTGAATTTTAACCTTGCAGCACAAAAAGAACTGTGTTACTCCTGGAAAAAACAACCAGTTGTCCTTTTCTGTCCAAGCTGTTCAAAAATCCAGTGAACAGAGCTACAAGCTAATACCTAAAAGGGCTTCAGTATAAATGTGAGATTTGGCTGAAAAGCCCCGTCAGGTAACGTCACTTTATGTGCTGCTCAATAAAAACTGTTTCCTCTGACAGGATCCAAGTCAAATGAGCATCATTTGCTTGGGTTATAAAAAGGATATACACTTTACCCACCTTGAATGACCAATCAAGACAATAGCTGTCTAACTGGCAAAGTGAAAGGAGGGTGCAATTACAGATTAACTTTCCTAAACATTAAGTTTCAGGAAGTGGAATTTCAGTACTTACTTGACCTGCTTGTTAACAATAATGCCCACAGCATGCTGGGTAACATTATATACCCTTCCAGTCTTGCCATGGTAACACTTGTGGGGCATACCTTTTTGAACAGTACCCATACCCTGTTAAGAGGTAAAACAAGAATAAAGTGTAAACTCTAACTTGGGGAAGGGGGAAAAAAACCCAAAAAGCACCATCGACGACTTTTCTTTCAGAAGTTATTTAAAGTACAGATTACTTGATATTCATCTAAAAATACTCACATTTTATCTGTACATTAGAATTTATAGCCATGCATTTGTATCTGAAGACTACTAAACTTTGCTGTGAAAATTCTGGTTGCTTTCAGTGTCGGTGAAATGACTTATCACCTTGCTTTCAGCAAGCAATCACATGAGACAATCATCATCAAGCTCCAGTGTATCTAGAAGTATTAATTTTGAACAGTGCAGTTCTCAAAAAGTCAAACTAAAAGCAAGCAAATTACACACCATCTCCTGTGTGATGGTTAAAACTCTGCATTTCAAATGGAATGAAAGGATTCAACAAAGTAGGAATCCTTGGTGAAAGACTTTCAGATTCACAACAACTTAACTTTGAAAGTACAGTGGATTTTAAAGAACAAGTTACAGAAAATACCAAGTGATGGAAAATGCTGCTTCACTTTTATCCTGTATTAATACATATGATGTACCCTTAAATTTATTTCTTAGTTTCTAGTTTTAATATGGCTTCACAATGACGATCCCTGTACATTAAGTATAGTCCTGCAGTGACACAGGGTCACAAGATGTAACTATCACCTACACCACCAGAACGGCTCTTCTGAGTAGCAGCTACAAGTCAGGCCAAACAGAAAATCTACTAAAATGACAGGGGATTCCTTTCAAAGTAGCAGTAGTAGGCACCGTACAGCAATCCCAGTATTAGATACGGCACCTTTCACTCATGGTTTTCAGCTGCATATGGCAGTAACAAAGCACAGCCAAATGTTTTTATCTATATATACACACACATATATAAAAATAAAACCCTACATAAACCAGTGTGACACTTAAGTGTTACTTCTGGTTCAGTAGCACTGTTACCCCAGTACTGTTTCAAAAGTGAGTAGCAAGTATATGACCCAAGTAACAACAATAAAAAAGACCACCTCAAGAAACTGGTGACTGAAAAGGTCTACTTTAGCTTTCAACTACACAACATTATAGAAAGTACCTTGATATCAACTATATCACCCTTCTTGTAGATGCGCATATAGGTAGCCAGAGGGACAACTCCTGTTAAAAGACAGATTTGGATACTTATGAAGCCCCCAGTTTCACACACACACAAAAATGGGTGGGAGACAATATTTCAAATATAGGTTCAATTTCAAAAACCTAACACTGAAAAATCAAACCATTTTTTACAAGCAATAATTACTTCTTCACATACTTCTAATAAAAAAAAAAATAATCCAACTAACTCAGGAAAAAAATACAGCTTTACTTTCATCCCCAATGCAGAAGTTGGAAAGGCATTAAACTATTTACCACTTTGTTGTGAACACAGCTGTTCTCACTGGACACTGCTGAGAAGCAAAACTGTACATTTTGTTAACTCTTGAAATATTTCCTTCACCTTGAAATTAATCCTCAAGCACTGACAGAATGTTGTTACTGTTAAGCAATCAGAATCCAACGCATACGCTGCAAAAACTGACAGTTTACTTGTGTATCGCGCAGCAGTTTTTAGCCCGAATTGTCAGAAATCCTTTGCCACAAGCCACTGTTTTACAAATGCTGCCTAGGGGCTGTTAACATCCAACAGGCAGCGTTCCTACTGTAAGGTATACTCACCATGTTTGCGAAACGGCCTTGAGAACATGTAACGTGTCCCCCTCCTCTTTCCCTTTGTGTTCGTCATTTTGGCTTATTACTCTAAAAAATGAATGCAAATTATTCAGAACCAGGAGTTGACTAAAAATCCAACTGACAGCATTTTCAGACACTTCAGAAAAATCAAGACTTCAAGCTTATTCATAATGACACCACTTCCAAATTGCTGGTCTATTCAAGCAGTGCCATTAGCTCAGAAATCTACAGAAAGCAGTATTTTTAGAAAAGGAGCACAGGATAACTCAGGTTAGAATGGATGTTAGCAAGCTACCTAGCACAACCTACTTAAAACAAGGCCTACTATGACCAGTCCAGGCTGTGCAGAGCTTTGTCCAGTCAGGTCTTGGAACTCTTCAAGGATGGAAAAACTACTGCACAGCTTCCCCTCTGGGCAGCCTGTTTGGAGGCCTTTCTCATGATTTAAAACTTTTCCCTTATACCCAGTGTGAGCTTCTCATTTTACCTCAAGCCATTTGTCTCATGCTTCTGCCTCATACCGCTGTCAACCACAATGTCTGTGACCCATGTGGCTCCTGCCCCATGTCCCTACCTTGCCCCCAAAAGCACCTGTTTCTGGTGGATTAAATCTAGTTGCCTCAGCCTCTCCTCACATAGCAGCCACAAGACATGATTCCTGCCCGTGGCAAGGGGGTTGAACTAGCTGATTTTAAGGTCTTTTTCAACCCAGACCAGTCTAAGAGTCTGTGATTTACGGGACGCTGTGTAATCTGGCACGAGGCGCGCGCATGCTTAAGCAGATCGGACGCCAACCACCAGGCCCGTCAGCGAAAGCCAAGCCCCGGTGCTCCCGATTTCCGGTCCTACCTCGGGAGGCTGCCACAGCCGCCCAAGCTATGCAAGGCCGGACTGATCGGGCCCGCCGCCATGTGTGCCACCGGCCCAGCGGAACCGCACACCTGCACCGCCACTGGCCCCAGCGGCTCCTCCATCCCTCAGCAGCCTCCCGGCCCGGCGCCCCTACCCGCGCCCTACAGGCCGCGGCCCCCTCACTCCCTCAGGCTCCTACCACAGCAAGGCCTGGCCTCACCGCCCCAGCCAAAGCCAGCGGCCACTCGGCCCCGCCACCAGCGCAGCGGGACGAGGTCCAGCCGCCCTCCCGGAGCCGCGGAGGCACCTGAGGCCAGCAAGCGGTGCTCAGCGAACCTCACCGTGCGCCCTACAAAATGGAGTCCCGGGACGAAAAGAAAGAGGCGGTGCCGCGGCCGCACTTAACATGGGGGCCTTGGCGGGGCTGCCCGAGCCGCGCCTGAGAAAAACTCCTGGTAGGTGCCTGCCTGCCTGCCTGCCTGCCTGCCTGCCTGCCTGCCGTGAACCCACCACAGCCAGCTGTGGGGCACAGATCCTGCTGGGCAAGGACGGGTCTGTCAGCCTGAGGTTTAACCCGTTTGCTGGAGCACGGACAGATACCGGTTTTGTCACGGCCGTGAGACGGGGCTGAGGGAAGCTGGCAGCAGGGTGGCAGGGAAGCTTTGTCTTGTCAGGGATCCCAAGGAGCAAGTGCTGTGTTGGGGTGGCTGGCCTGCTGTCCATAAGGAATTACGTTTGGTCATTTTAACTATACTGAGCCCACAACATTAAAGAAGCCCACATTAAAAGAGTCCAGAGGAGGCCATGAAAATGATCAGAGGACTGGAGCACCTCTCTTATGCTGACAGGCTGAGAGATTTTGGCTTGTTCACCCTGGAGAAAAGAAGGCTCTGGGGAGACCTTAGAGCAGCTTCCAGTGCCTAATGAGGCTGAAAGAAAGCTGGAGAGGGGCTTTTTACAAGGGCAGGTAGTGATACGACAAGGAGGAATAGCTTCAAACTGAAAGAACGTAGACTTAGATTAGGTGTAAGGAAAAAGTTCTTTACTGTGAGGGTGATGAGACACTGGCACAGGCTGTCCAGAGGAGTTGTGGATGCCACATCCCTGGCAGTGTTCAACCCAAGGCTATTTGTAGTTCTATGAGAGCCTTTTGCTGCTGTGTGTCTGTTACAGCTGCCTGACTGGAGACCGCATTGTCCTGGACAGGAAAGCATGGTAGGAGAAGCAAGCCAACAGCAGAAGCCAAAAGGCTGCTCAAGGTTTAGGGTTTATTATTATGGGGTTTCTTCTTATTATAATGCCATCATCTCCAATTGGTGTGGCAGATGTTCCACAAAGATAAATTAGGCATGGATTCTCAACAAAGAGCCTTTGTACAGCCACAGGTTGCATCAGCTGTGTGGTGCCTGAAGATGGAGCGGGCTGGTGAGCAGCTTCCAGAGCTGCTGGTGTGACTCACTGTGTTTGTGCATCGTCAATATTCAAGCAGACAGGATCATCATGGGAAGCTGATTGCAGGGAATGAGTCAAAAGAGGGCCTCCTTCCCCTGAGCTAAACACGCAGGGACAGTTCAAAACTTGTCTTGGCAAGAAGTTACCCTGCTACAGGAATTTCTGTTTTGAGTGAAAGCAGCACTTATTTAATTTAGGGGAGGGATGATTACTTAAAGCTGCATATAAAAACATATTTGATCTTCTGACTAACTTCACAGTTATTCTAATGTCTTGCAAAACTTAAGCCCTTTCTATCATCATTTGAAAGCTAGTTTAATATTTATGGATTGCAAGAATGGATATGGAGGACTAAATACACTGTCAGGTTCTGCCTGCAACGCTAGCTGGGAGAGCATGTTATGACGGACAAAGGCCCTGTCTCCACATGAGACCTCTTGGAGTAAAGTGTTACATTTAGAAAAAACATGTATGTATTCCAGCTCCGTACCATGAAAATTCTAAATTTGCAGCACCTGATATCTACACATTGAAAATCTGTATCATTTAATATGCATTCAGCCTAGGAACCATGAAGCTTCTTCAAGCATGAAGATAGTTATGAGCCTGAACAGCTCTTAAGTAGGGAAGCCTATTGGCAACAGATAGAGAGATGTCAGGGAGGATATCAAGCAAAGTAAAGACAGGAAGCCAAATCCTGAAAGGCATTATCAAATAAAGGGAGATAGGCGTTTTCAGTGAGCTGAACACCTTACTCTTGCCAAGGGCTGACATAGAGGGCGTATCTCCACATGGAGCAGGAAGGAGAGGGCAAGAAACTCCACATGTTAAAACTCCTGTCCAGGTACACAGCATATAAGTGCAATTTGTAAGGGAGCAGTAACTGTGAACTTAACTGAACTCTCCTTTACTTGGGGCCAAGGAAGACATTCAGGATTTGCTACATTTTTTTTCCTGAATAATTGCATGATGGGCATATTCAAAATTTCAGTAATGTTTTTATTCATAAAATTGACCTTGATTAGCACTTTCTGGGATCCTTGTTCAGCTCCACATTTCGAAGAAACAATAATGTTTCAATGTTTGTTGGCACTGGCCGTGCTGTCTGGGTCTGATCCAGAAGTCCAGTTCGTCCTATCTACCAACATTTCATACACGTGTTCCCCAAACTGTGGCCTCCTGAGCACTTAAAGGCTGCAGAGCCTTTGTATGTTGCTCACAAAAGGACTTCTTAATAATGGCTGTCTCCAACAGATAAAGCTGCACAAGTTGTGGGGCGAGTTCTTGTCTGGAAACTGGAGCTAGCAGCCAAGCATACATGGAGGAGACCTGCAGCTCTACATTCCAGACTTAACGTGCTCCCCTTACTGCCCTGCCTCATCCCCTCAGAAACCCTGGCTAAACTGCTCTTCCTTCATCAAACTGCAGTTGTAAGATCCAAATTCCAGTTTCTGTTAGGCTGTAGAGAAAATACCACATCTGGTTCTGTTTCAGAACCACATCCTCAAGACTGGGGTGAATGTGACTGGCAATGCCCATCTTAACATGAAGATCTAAAAACCCATGAAGGTCCCAGGTAGGTGCTCCACCCATTAATGTGCTCTGGAAATCTACTACACCATGATAGACTGTGTTTTCCTCCCACTCTCTCTGGCTTGGAGGTAGAGCAAGACAGGGAAAGCAGCTTCAGTGAGAGCCAATTCAAAGTTGCTGGGGAAAGGAGCTTGAAAGGGAGGGCTCATTAGAAGTCAGAGGAGTGGGGACTAGATAAACATCACTTTGTTTTTCAGAGTGGAAAGTACCATGCCAAAAAAATAAATAAACCCCAAACATTTCCTGTCCCCAGGCTCCCACAGTCAGGATTCTGGTATCTTCTCTGGGAGAGCCTCATTTTTATCCTGACACTTCTCTGCAGCATCTGGCCAACAGCTCTCTCCAAAGAATAAACGTGCTATGATGATTCTGCACATGGGGTTGTCAGGAATCCTTCACTGAAATTTTAATGCACAGTGGGATCTGGCTCGCTCCTACGCTCAGAGGACCAAGTGATACACAGAGAGATCTGGAGTGTGACATTCCATTTGTGTTAGGTTATTCAGCAGGGGTGTGGAAGGAATTTAAATTAATGAGAGTTTGTAAAGGGCTCTGAGGTGAAAAATGAAAAATATTCCCCTTCAGTAGGGTGCAGATCTCCCGTGTCTCACATGATGCATTCATTGTACAATAAAAGATAGCTAATTAGGACTAGAGCAAAATTTTAACAGAAATAACTGAGAATAGGTGTTAAATAAAGAGCATTGAAATCTGCAGTTCTTCTTGTGATAACACTGCAAAATGAGGAGTCTAAATTGAAAATCAAGATTGTGAAGTTAATTGGCTGCCCCATCCATACAAGCACTTTTGATCAGAAAGTTACTGACCAAAGTCATCTGTGTCACCTCTTGAGTTGACCCTTTTGTTCTGCTCTTTGCTCTTTCTAAAGGAATTGAGTTATGTGGCATCTCAAAGTCATGCTTCTGGTCCCTTTCATGAACTCTTTAGCTCCCTGCTGATTCTTCCTCTAACAACATTTTATTTCTGGTTGCCCAGCTCCTCATCCACAAAACTCACTCTGTAAATATAAACTTGAGCCTAGTTTCATGGGAATTAAAATCAATAAAAGTTGAGTCTAAGCAGCAATTCAACTTCCAAAAATGGCTGTACAAACTCCTTCAATGGGTCTGCTGTGGAATTGCAGAGGTGCCTCTACAAGTGGCTGTACTGAGCTGCATTGCCAGTGAGGCATTCCATGGAGAGAGGAATGGGAAATTCCTTTCTCAAAGACACAGAATGTCTTTGAGATAAATACAAAGGCAAAAACTATATAGACCAAGAACTGTGACGCCACACATGGGGGAAAGTGTTTGTTACACCGAGGTTACATGTATTAATTCAAAATGTTACTAGATGCAGGTAGATTGATACCGAAGCCAAACAAATGGCCTTTTTTTCCATCATTATCTTGACTGCCACAGAAAATCTGATATATGAACAAGTTCTCTCATTCAGCTGCTTATTTGAGTAACATGACATTCTACTTGTATATGTACGTCAGTGAATACGGCATTACTGACCATGCAGAAGTCATCAGGATCTTCCAGGTACTCTGTTGTATAACTGACCAGCCTTTCATGGGTACCAAATAATACAATCAATTTATCAAACTTCATTTTAAAAGCAGTTAACATCCCTTTCCTACCTTACTAATGGAGTGGCTCCTCAGGAAGCTGGTTTCCTTAATGTATCATTTTCTCAAATTCCTTGTGGTACCACTTTTTTGAGGTCACCTGTCCCTGTGACCCTGAGTCCAACCCATCAAGCTATGTACAAGCAACTCCTCACATTGTCAGCATCAGCTCACTATTTATTTAGCAGTTTTCACTGCATGCAATTAGCCACGTTGGCTGACACAGCTGATAATTACAGATACCTTTTGCTCCTTTTTCATGGTGGAACTGAGCTGCTGCAAGAAATAAATCTGCGTAAGATGGGGATTTTTGTGGGGCTTTCCTTTTGATAACATATTGAATACAAATATAGAATTAGCAGTAAACTATATTTTTAAAAATCTGTTTCTTCACAATCCCCATTAAGCTCTTTGCTGGCCCTCTTGGGAGCTGTTCACTACAGTTGAAGAAACACCTGGCTTAATGATTAGGAACATACTGCTATTTTGTCTTTATTTGTTCATGTCTGATCTTACATGTACTTCTAGCTGGAAGAACAAGAATGCTTGCCCTTTTTCTGTGATTGTTTACACAGAAGAATATGCCCTTCACACATTCATTGTACTAAACGGAATAATCAAGGCTCTTGGAGCCTCCAGACACATGGCATGCTCTGTGCATTTGCTCTCATTCCCACACATCTCTCGAGTATCAGTGACCAGATTTGTACACAATAGTCCCAGTTAGCTTACTTAATGTGCACCCATTATTTCTGAGATGCTTCCTGTTATTACTGAAATTATCACAATCCACAAAACATAAAGTTCCTAGGATTGATATTTTGTTTGGTTGGTTGTTTTGCTGGCTGCAGATGTTTCAGTGCTTGTCCTTAACCTGCTAGCTGGGAACTAGGAGACGACGTTTTAATCTTAAACACTGAGCAATGGCAGGCCTCAGTGATTTTGTTGGCACAAGGTCAGTTCTCACATATTGATGATTTTGCTCAGGTAAAACTTGTAAGTGTCTTGGAAGAACTTTTGTCTATAAGGAATAAACAGGACAGAATTGGCCTTTAATCCCTGTTGGCCAAAACAAAACAAATACACTAAGAAAAGCTGCAGGCTGGCAAGGGCCAGATTTAGTTGACTTTTTCCTCATTTGATTTCTAGCATGTGACTATTTTATTCACTATAAAGTATAATTTTAACAGGAGCTTAACTTGTGCCAATTAGTCTTTCAAGACAGGCTTAACTTCGGAGGGCAAAGTGCTTCAGTTTTAAATAGATCTCAATATAAGCTTTGTTGCTGAAATGTGATACCTGATCTAAAGTATTGTATATAAGAACAGTTTATTGTAATGGCACACTGAGTTTGAACTGATGAAATCTCACTATATTACAAAATGGGTTTTTTTGGTGCTAATTCTCAGGTGGGCTTGCAGATGACACCTAATTGTTAGGAGCGGTCAAATCCTTGAAAGGCAGGGCTGCCACTGAGAGGGACTGGGACAGGCTGGAGAAATGGGCTGCAGGAACCTTGAATTTTGGGACAGGCAAGTACAAAATCTTACACTTGGGTTGGAATAACCCCACACAACAGGACAGGCTGAGGGCTGACTGTACAGGAAAGGGCTTTGCTGAAAAGGACCCGAGGGTGCTGGTGGATGACAGCAATACGCCCTTGCTGCAAAGTCAGCTACATCCAGGACTGCATTAGCAAGAGGTTAGCCAGCAGGGCAAGGGATTCTTCTTTTCCATTTGGCACTTGTGAGGCTATACCTGGAGTATAAATCCTGATCTAGGCTCCTCAGGACATAGAAGACATTAATATACTGAAGCAAGCCCAGTTGAGAGCCACCGATGTGGTCACAGGACTGAATCACAGGGACATACAAGAAGCTGGAAGAGCTGGATTTGCTCAACTGGCAGAGAAGGAAATCTCTCTTCCACTGTTTCATGGCAAGGTGAGGAGAAGATGCAGGCACACACCTCTTGGGTGCACAGTAGAAGGACAAGAAGCAATGGATAGAAGTTAGAACATGGTAAATTTCTGACTCAAAATAATAAAAATGTTTTTATTGTAGAAGTGGTCAAAACTTCAACTGGGTTGCTCAGAGAGAATGTGGAATTCGCATCCTGAGCTTTTTAAAGCTCAACATGGCAACCTGATCTAGCTGAACCTGCTTTGAGCAAAGGATTGGATTAAAGACCCCCATAGGCACCAGAGATGGTCTTGAGTCTATGCTGATTCCAGCTTCTCAGCAGCAGGTGCTGTAGTTTAAAAAGGCAGCATGCCTAATGGATGCAACAACATAAAGTAAAAATGTGGGTGGAATCATTCTCTACTCTAGAAAACACTCTATGGCATTGTATTACTGTATAGGCATCTGAAGTAGCCATTTGCATTTCTTATTAATTATTCTAATTAGAGCCATTAACATAATTGTTTTTAATTGCTTATGTAATGGCAAATAACCTTGCTGAAAGGGCTATATAAAATATTGCTAGTTTTATTTCAAGAAACGTTTTCTACTTAGTGTTAGCTGAATTCCAGTAAGCACAAGTTTAAATTTATCTCCAATCTATGCCAAATTGAATTTGTTTTTCTGTATGAATACATAAAGACAAAATAGAATGTTTATGATTTTAATAGTGCTACAAAATGATCTTTTTAATAATGCATGAAGTAACCAGAGTTATTGCAAACTCAAGTACTAAGCAGATTGTAACCACCTTTCAGTAAACATTATTGTCTTACTCAAGTTCTGCAGATCTTCTGGATGCTAAAAGAAAATCCTATCCTGCTTCCATGGCCTCTTTGTGAAAGAAAAGGAAAGAAGAATCAAATACAGAAACCACAAGAGGAAAAAGCACACTGTTCCCTGCACCAAAGCACTTCACATGTGATTATAAGTCAAATTATATATTCTTTCCCCAGTGCTTTAGCAGTTTGAGTTTGTGGTCAGAAAATGTCAGCCTTCACTGAGTAATGTGCTTTTTACAGGCCAGCCAGCTTTCCAAAATGAGAAAGTCTGTAGCTCCTGCAGTCTTACACATACGAGTATCTTAAATGATGAATCTGAGGTACAGATGCTTTAAAACAGTTGTATTAAGAAAACAAAACAAAAAACCAAACATGTGCTTTTATTTTCACCCTGTTTTGAACATTTTCAGTCCTGCCATCATGCTTTTCAGTTTTCTAGCTTATTGAGCCCTAAACTTTTTATAATAAGCAAAAGGTGAATTTTTCAAGTAATCCTCATCACCTGAACCCTGGAATTGTGGTTGCAAGGGAACTATAAAATGTCACAAGGCTTGCAATGAGAGAGTTGGCTATGCTCTGACAACCACTGTCACTGAGACAACAGCTGCTCTGAACAATCACTGCAGCCACAAAAGAACAAATTAATGGTCAGTCAAGGAGAAGCAAAATGGAGAACAAAGGATAAACTTGACCAAGCTATGACCAACCAAGGGTAAACTAAACCAACTTTCCCATAATAGCACTTACTTACGGAGCAGGGTTATTTTCAGTTATCAATTCATTAATATTTGTGAAATGCTGTGGAGTCCTTCATGGAATATGCAAAATAATGCAAAATGTGAGCTAATTAATGTATGTGCTGCTCCAAGGCAACCACAGCTTGTCTGGGGGAGAGAGGCTGTGTAGGTGAGGGGGTAAAACAGGGAAAAACAAACACAGGGCAAATGGCAATAAGATGTGCCACAGAGGAAGAAGAGGAAATGAAATCGTAGGGGACATGTAAGGAGGAAATGAGGCCACATGGGACAAAGAGGTGATGCCTGGGTTACTGCAGTATAGAGACACAGGCACAAATCTATATGTAACAGCTTTATTACTACTGCTGCTCATGCAGTAACCTGTTGTTGTCTGTTTGGGGTTTTGTTGGGTCTTTTTGTTTTTCTTGTTGGGTTTTTTTGTTTTGTTTTGTTTGTTTGTTTGTTTTAAGAAAAAAATTAAGTATAACCGGAGAAAAAGAAGTATAACCAGATGGGAGTATTTAACTGACCATCTGCAAGTACAGAGGGTAACTGTGCATTTTTCAGGGTATAAATCTTCCAAGAGAAGAAGTCAAAAGCATTATACTTCTGTATTGCTGACAGAGTGAGCACTGTTTGAGAACTGATTTCAACATGCACTTGAACAATAGCTTTAGAACAGCTGAAGCACAGAATACGGCTGTGACATATGTTTCAATTAAAACAAAAATAATTAACCACCCGTTAGTGTCATGAAAAGCAGAGGCTATTAACAGTAAATGCTCTTTAGCGATTGTGTTATTTCCACAAAGCTGTTTCCAGTGTTTTTTCTACCCCTTATTGATAATGTTTTCCACTGTGTAGCTATCTGCCTGCTGTTTTACATATTCCTCCTCAGCTTCCTTTATATCTTGGTACTGTAGGAAACTGATTAGTGGGGGAGACTGTAATGATACAAAGGCTCTTCACCTGGAGGCTGCCTGTTGTCATATTGTGCGTCAGTGTTGTTATTACATGACAGCTAATTTTACTTCTGGAGAACTGCTGCGTAGATCACAAAAATACTGTCTTGCTGACTGCAGTGGGAAGCTTTGATGGTATTCTGGTAAAGAACAGAGAGACTGAGTGCCTTGCACTTCTCACCTCTAGTAATGGATTTTCCAAGTCAGTGTTAGATCACTGTGACTGACTCCTGAGTTTTTCATACTTAGGAGAAACCAGTTACTGAGATGATGGTTTTGCTTGTGCCTGTGTCAAGGATCAAAGCCATTAATTTTTAAAGAAAAGTTTCTACTATTGAAAGTATTTATTTCAATATTAAAAACCCCCTTATTTCTAAATGTACCTGTAGCCCTATTTCTGCAAAATATTATGTTCAGAACAATGTCAAAAAGCACCCAGTTACTATTCTCATACCTAGCTCATGCCCTTTAATATTGAGATAACTGAGACCCAAACTATACGCATTTCTTTTGTAGTATAAAATGATATCTTTCAAAAGAGTTATTACCTTTTTATAAATGGACTCTTTTCCTAAGAACTTTAACTTCAAGTTAGGATTCCACCTGCTTTTAGGAGTCTATAGACTCACACAGGGATAACTGTTTAGAATTCTACTGGAATAGGTTGCCCAGGGAGGTTGTGAATGCTCCATCCCTGGCAGTGTTCAAGGCCAGGTTGGACGAGGCCTTGGGTGATATGGTTTAGAGTGAGGTGTCCTTGCCCCTGGCAGGTGGGATGGAACTTGATGATCTTAAGGTCCTTTCCAACCCTAACTATTCTATGATTCTACTGTTATTTTCAACACAAATCATATTGAACACAATCCCTAATTCAACACAATTCTTATTCTTTACAGTCTCATTGGACATCTCAGCTGATGTATATATTAAGTGCTGTTGGTAGATATTTATATTCAGTTTGGTAGCATTAAATTTTGTATTTTCTCTTACAATTTTTCAGATGCTAGTAATCCTTTGTGTAATAACAGGTTTGTTTTTTGCTAGCTATGTATGTATGTCAAGATGCCTGGTATCAGCTGAGCTGTGAAAATGAAAGTATCAGAATATCCCTGTGTGTGAACTCTGCAAGAAACAAATACTACCCTCTGCTTAAAAAAAAAAGGCACAAACCAACAAAACCCAACACCCTTGCTTTGGTCTTCTGAAATGAGTGTAAGGGAAAAGTCATTATGTGTAAATTCTACCCTGTCAGAGAACTCTCACCCAATTTATTCTGTTTACAGATTTGATCTAAGAACGATTCTCACACCTCTGAGTGTCAGGTTTACTGATGGAATGTGCTCGGGAATGAAATAATATTCAACTATTGTGCAGTTGAATTCAACTATTGTACAGTTACAGTATCATATTAAGTTTTATAGTTTGGTGATAATTAATGTCTTGCTTATGATTACAATTAAGACTGATTTTTTTCTTTTGAACCCATGAAGTGTACAACTCATTTAACTACTTGCTCAGATCCTCCCATATCCAGTTAGTCCACCATCACCCCTCTGTCACAGCACCCAGACAGCATGTACGACTCTTCTGAAAATGTATCCTCAGCATAATTTACAGAGATTAATCTACTAATACAGATGTTTAACTATTTGTGAATCAGTACAGATAGTTTGATATAACATGAATTTCCAACTATATTTTCTGTTTGTCTCTTCTGTTCCCCATAAATGTGTTAACATTCCAGTTCTGTATAGTCTGATGCAGCTTCAGGTTTCCCTGGAATTGTGAAATACAAGTTCAGGAAAATTTCTTTTATGTCTAACTATATATTACCGCATAGCACAAATCCTGCAACACCTGCTGCCCACAAAGTAAAGTGCATATACATAGCTAGACTGGTTAATATATTGTGAGAATGGTGGAAGACCTTCACTGGGTTATGTATCAATAAAAATAGATGGGGAATAATTCAGAGTTTTCTTGCAAAAACCAATGCCCCTCCTCCCTTCCCCAACCCCCCACTCCTCCATCCCCTGATATTTTATGTCTAGATCCAAATTTAAGAATTTCCAGAACAAGTAAAAAGGTATATATACACAAACCAACTTGTTCTGACCTCAGACCTGACTCTGCTACGAGCAGAAGGCTGGACTAGAGACATCCAGAGGTCCTGTCCAACTCGAATTACCCTGTGGTCCTATGATCTTGCAGTCATGCTGTATACTAATCCAACCAGATGTGATATGTCTGCATTCAGATCCAGCAGCAACAGTCCAACCAGTGGGTGGTTTGACAGGTTAGTGGAGGGGTAAACAGATTCACGGGACCCATTCTGTCGTCAAGCAACGTTAATAAAAACCCGACATGCTCCAGATTCAGCAAAACCATCTGTAGTCACAGATAGATGATACAGGCACAAACACACCTGTACCGTGCCTACTCTTCAATTTCTAAAGCCAGCCTACCCACACACCATAGAGTAAATTGGGTGCCCGCCAAACCACAAGATTATGAAACAAGGAGAGGCACAGGGTGAGCAGCAGCAGTTTACACTTATTGTATTTTCCTTTTTGCTCCTCTGTGTCTATTAATACCTCTGTACATTTAGAGTGTAAGTTATTCAGAAGATAGAACAGGGTTTTCTCCTGAAGTCTTATGTAGTGACTAAGGAGGTGAAGTGCTTTGGACTCTTGATTTGTTTTTCTAGGTGTTAGGGTAATTCAAATACTGTGTAATAACAACAACACAACTCTAAGAGACTTTCAGGGCAGGGAATTAATTCTGTCTGTTCAACTAACATACTTCTGAGAGAAAAGCATCTATTCTTTAACCAAAGTCCTCAGGAGATACAGGATGGTCCATTTCTCATGGAGGCATATTCCAACCATTGTCTTCCACTGTGAAAAGTTGTGCAGAATTTCTAATTTGAATTTGTCTGATTTCAGTTTATAGGTATTTTTCTTGTTATGCCTCTTACTGTGAAAGATTAGAAATCACTGTAGCCACCTTCCAGTCATCTTTTGGAAAGCCAAACAGATTGTGCACTTTTAAGTCTTCCCATGCAAAGAATCTTCTCTAGCCTCAAATAACTTCTTGACATTCTTTTGACAACAAGGGCACTAGAGGCAAGTGCAGTATTACCACAAGAATCTCCCCAGTGCCACATGTAGAAGGAAAATAATGTCTCTTTCTACTTGCCACATCGGTGGTTACATTGTCAAGGATTCCATTATTTGCTCATATTGTAGCATTAGACTGGAAATTAATTTTTGCTGTCACCCCAATCTCTGCAGACATGACCTGCTCATTCTATTTTTAAGCTCTACTGATGCCTATATTAAAATACACTGTATCTGAATGGGATTAATTTACTAAACAATGCAGATCTTTTGATAACTCCAGCTTGCAATTAATTTCCCATTTAACCACTCTTTCTCTTCACAGTACACGAGTTTTGCTTTCTCATTGCTGAAAATACTAATACATGTATTTTTTTTTTCTGTATTAAGATGCTTGCGCTCTCCTGCCAGCTTTCCTGAGCAACTATACCCTTTGGAGCTGGTGTTCAGTGGATACCACCTACCGGTTTCCTGAATAAACAGGTCTGTTCCCCTAAAACCAAGTTCTGTATTCTGCTGCTCTCCTTCTGCCCCCACAGGATCATGAAATCCATTCCTCACTCCAGGCTAGGCTCTGAGAGCCAAGCCATTGATTACATCCCCCAGTTCTTCCTTGTTGGTGAAGAACCAATCCAGCTGTGAATCACCCCTGGTTGGCTCAGCCAGTATCAAGAAGTTATCCACGGTGTTCTACAAAATCTCCTTGACTTCTTGCATTCCAATGTGATGTGTTGTAGCAAATGTCAGGCAGGCTGAAACTCACTCAAGATCTGGGGTCTGTGATCAACAGACTTCCTTGCTCCTAGTTAAAGTTCTCTCCAGGTTGGCCGACCAGCAGGCAAAGATGCTCTTTTTGCGTTTTGTCAGGTGGATCTTGTCTCTCTCCCCAGTGACACAAGTTCTCACTGACATGTTTTCTCAGACAGGGTTAGTTACCATGCTGATCTATATGCATTGCATTCACTGTTTTCAAAGCTCTGTCTCCTCAAGCATACACAAACACATGCACAATCCTGGCCTACCCACCCAGTTTTTCCTTAGCTTGTCAAATACCTGGCATACTTAATTGTGAATCATTCCAATCACCATAAGGGTCTTAATGATGACAATTAAGTGATAATGTCCAATTCTCTTACTTGTTTGCTAATATTTTACCTTGGTTTTATGGTCAATAGTATTGAAAGTGATTCTGCGTTTCCCCTTGTTCTATGCGGTGATAGTTCAGTTTGCTGCTAACACACGACCTCAGTTTACATGGCACTGCAGAAAAAAATCAGCCTCACTCTATGTTACTAATTTAGCATCTTCCAGCTGCTCTGCTTAGTCTCCAGCCATGATTAACCCACACCTAGCAGATAGAGGCCAGCATAGCCCTACATCCCCCACTATCTTTGAAATGTGTCTGATACCCCACAATACCTAATTTTTCTCTTGGAAATATGGACAGAAAGAGCACTTCACACCAAGTATATTTTGCCTTCCTTCTCTAATATGTGGGCAGGAAGAAACTTGAAGGCAATCTCCGACTTTCCTTTTGAGTGCCTTTCAAGGTTCCTGCTGTTGTCTATGGCCTGTGCCATAGACATCAAGACATACTCGATGCCACGTAATTGGTTCCAAACTGAATTATCTCCCAGATAACAGTGTAAGCTTCTGCAGTAGTGCAATTGCTTTTTGTGGTTTTGCTTTGGGGAGACAACATGCTGTCGTATTTTCCTGGTGTCATTTTTTGTCAACTTTGCCCACTCCAGATCATACAGGAGTGGCATGTTTACTTAATACTGTAAGGACTGGTGCTGCAGACGTATTTGGCAGCATTGTATTTCAGTACACGAACTGCTGGATATCTGAAGGTTTGACACTATTAGCTGGCCAAATACCCATTCTTGCTTTTTTTGCACATCAAGTGTCCAATCCAGTTCTTTTGTTTCTATTCTCATTTCCCTGATGCTGTCCTCCCCCATGGTTTCTGTGGCAACAGCTTCTGAATGTAGTCATCCAAGAGGCATTCGTTTTCTGAAATACTATACTTTTGAAATACACACTTCTAGACCACAGATATTATGTAAAGGAACTGCTTGAGGATACTTCAGGTTGCAATAGAGTTCAGTTATAAGACTCCTGAAGTCATGTTCTTTATGTTTCAGGTAAAGTAACATTTACTATTTCAATTAGTTTCATTGCTAAAGATTGTTTACTTCTTAAAATGATAGAAAATATCATGATTTGACATTGCACACATTATCTTTTTTACAGTGAAAGGATGCATTTATGATCCAAGGCCTTACATGAATTAACATTATTCTTATTAATAATAATCATTTTCATCTGCTAAATGTACCCCATATATAAAAAGAGGCAGGGGGGATGTATCTTAGCTAGCTTTATGCTTTTTTAATGCAGGTAGGAACAGCTAGAACGACTCACCCAGATTTCTGTTAGTCTGCATAGACAGGCATATCTGAATGATTCACCTCCTTCCCGAACAGATACTTCCAGTGACTGATACAAATGACAACTCTACAGATCAGCTTTATTATCCAAGACGTCTGAGACTAGGGTATGCAAATCCCAGACCACAGAAACCAAACAGTTGGTCGTCTGGAGAGGAACTGAGAAAAAGAACTCACAGGTGCTGTGTGCCTCTTCATGTGCCCTTTATGCTGGGAGGGACCCCAGGGCTTTGAAAGACAACGGCTGTTCAGATGCATGAAGTCTAAGGTGAGCGTGCCATTATTAGTAGGTAAAAGTTTTCTACTTCTGAATTTGCCTTATTCTTCAGTTGCGAGTTAAACCTGCTCAATCTCTTCACCTCTCCAGGCCACAAGGGAACTCTTTCCCTTGAAGCGGCTCAGCACTTGCATTGAGTAGCACCCACCAAAACCAGGCCCCGCGCCCTCCCTCTTCCAGCGCCCTCACCCAGCGCCCGCCCGTTAGATCTCAGCTGTAGGCCACAGAAGTTAGCAAGAAAGAAAGGGGAAAGAAAGCAAGCACTGATGGCGGGGGGCAGCCAGCCCGCCTCCCCCTGCCATGTTGGGGCGCAACGACCCCTCCTGCGGCAGCCAGCG